GGTGCGTGTGGGTGCGTGTGGGTGCGTGTGGGTGCGTGTGGGTGCGTATGGGTGCGTGTGGATGCGTGTGGGTGCGTGTGGGTGCATGTGGATGCGTGTGGGTGCGTGTGCGTGCGTACGTGCGTGTGTGTGGGTACTTGTGTGAGTGGGGGTGTGTGTTGTGTGTGTATTTATGCATTTGTATGTACAGGCGTTTGCGGGCATTTGGGTGCGTGTGTCTATAATTGTGTAAGTGGGTGTATCGTATGATAACTATGTTCTGATTCTAATTTAGTATTTTTATTGTGATTATATTCTTTAGAAACATTCCTTAGATGTGTCATATATATATTTTTGTAAGACCCGTTATTTAATGGTAAATACCTATACTATATGTACGTGTTTTATTTAGTTCAGTTGATATAAAAAATCATTGGTTTAGATAAAATACTTATTGAATACAGCGGTTTTCTTGTAAAACTTTGAGGTAACTTTGTTTTTCTATCTATCCCTTAACGTTACCCTTAACGTTACCTATTTCTGCCGCTAAACAGTAATGTGAGTATTACTGCGTTACAGTTTTGAAGGATAAGGGTGTGTGTAGGTGAAATGCACATGGGGCTTGTCAACTTATGTCTCAAGGTGACGGGTGTAGTGGCAATGCCCCTCAGATTTTTGTGCGTGGCACTGCAAATGTTATGGACAGGCGTACCGTTATTTGATATCATAAAAATACTATAGCAACTCGGACGATGTCTCTCAACCGTACATTTTTTTATTACACCTACATGAACCTTGTGTGGAGTATGTGGAGTATATAGTGTTTAATTATAATGTCAATTAAATAGAAAAACCGTATTTACATATCTGATATCGGACTGTTATATCCCCATATAGCTGGCAACATTATATATACACTGTCATTTTCACATTACAAGTTATTACATTTGAAGCAAATGAAAAAGGAAGCTGCAAACGATTCCGACAAAAACCTCCACGTGCAGACAGATTGGATTTGAACTCGCCGTCGCGACACATTGTTTCTTATTGTAATTTTCTATACTTGTTGTAGAATATATACGAGGCATGTTTTTTAAGTAAGTACCGTTTTGGGATTAAAAAAAGACGTGCAAAGATATCACAATAATTTTATTTTTATATGAAAACCTGTACCTTAATCTACTTTTCTACATAATTTCCGTGAATATTGAGGCACTTGTCATAACGTGGCACCAGTTTTTGAATACCCTCCTCATAAAATTCTGCCGCCTGACTTTTTAACCACTGTATTACAACTGTTTTGACTTCGTTATCGTCTTGAAGACGCTTACCGCCCAGGTGTTTCTTCAAGTGCAGGAACAAATGGTAGTCGCTGGGCGCTAAATCAGGACTGTATGGAGGATGATTTAGAGTTTCCCATTTAAAAGATTTGATGAGATCTTTGGTCCGATTAGCCACATGTGGACGGGCATTGTCATGGAGCAAAACGATACCCTTACTCATCTTGCCACGTCTTTTGTTCTGGATTGCACGACGCAGATTGTTCAATGTCTCACAATAAGACGCTGCATTGATTGTCTCATTACGAGGCAGAAACCCACTAGCAATACGCCTTTTTTGTCCCAAAAAACTGTGCACATGATTTTCCGGGCAGAAATTGTTTGCTTAAACTTTACTTTTTTGGGTGATGATGAATGTCGCCATTCCATGGATTGTTGTTTGGATTCTGGTGTGACGTAGGCCACCCATGTTTCGTCACCAGTAACAATTTGGTCTAAAAAAACTTCACTTTCATTGTGGTACCGCTCAAGGAAAGTCAATGCACTGCCTAAACGTTGGGTTTTGTGCAAATCCGTCAACATTTTTGGAACCCAACGTGAACACAATTTCCGGTATTTCAAGTTCTCGGTCACAATGCGATACAAAACACTACGAGAATATTGAGGAAAGTAGTCGCACAATGATGAAATTGTAAAGCGTCTGTTTTCTCTCACCTTTTTGTCCACTTTCTGCACCAAATCTTCATTAACGACCGAAGGACGCCCACCCCGTTCTTCATCATGCACGTTTGTGCGGCCATCTTTAAATGCTCTCACCCATTTCCTTACCATTCCATCACTCATAATGTTTTGTCCGTAAACTTCACAGATCTCACGATGAATATCCATCGGTTTTGCGCCTTTAGCACTAAGAAATCGTATAACAGCCCGTACTTCACAATCGGCGGGACTTACGATTGTCGGAGGCATCTTAAACACTCAGTAAACAACGTATGCATTGAAGAATCAGACTGTAATGATGTCAGTGCGTAGACAAGAGATGTAGGTAACCAGCGCGCATGCGCGGAACGCCGACCATACCGCGGCGGCGGCAGAGTCGCAAAACGGTACTTACTTTAAAAACATGCTTAGTATATATATATATATATATATATATATATATACATATATATAATAGTTTCTATACTTGTATAAATTAATAATCTCAGTACAGAGTACTAAAAAACCGACCTCAAAAGTACGTGGAATTACATCTATTTACTAAGTTATATTGAAATATCCTTAAATTCGCCACTATACAGGACTTGACACTGGAGACAATAAAAATCGGTTCTCACTACTCAAAGAATATTTAGAGAAAAACGCCTTGAATTAGAGAAATAGCAAAATCAACCATTAAAGTAATTGCTCCTAAATCAAATTAGGCGCTATTTATAAAAATGAATTTTCATGCGTGGACAGCCACCGTTAGAGGTGGATGATTTTCTTCAAAATGAAATGGGACCACTATGGAAGTACCCTCTTTCCAACAAAAAGAGAATCATGAAAATCGGTTAACAAATACCGGAGTTATCGCGTAAAATACAGTCGAATTGAGAACCTCCTCCTTTTTTGAAGCCGGGTAGTAAAAGTTAATATGCTCCAGTATTATTTATTTGACAGTAATTGTTTCCGACGGATGTTCGGCGGAAAACTGGAGTAGTTTCGCGTACAGTAGTGGACGTACTTTAATAATAATAACGAACATACTCATAGCTCCGCACTAGGTAAGCCATGTGACGCGGGTACCATTCACAAATACATAGACAACTACAAATTACACTCAAACTCACGAGAGAAATAGATGTAGGTCATATAAATATTTCTCTCGGCCCGGGAATCGAGCCCGAGACCTCTGTATCGCAGTCCAGCGTGGTAACCGTTCGGCCACGGAGGCAGTTACTTGGACCTTAAGGGTCGTATTCCAGAACTGTACTCAATGCTCAAGTCAGGATTTGAGCAGACTTGAGTATGATTTTCAGTGCTCACTGCAATGCTCAAGTCCTGACTTGAGTATTGAGTAGAGTTCTGGAATACGACTCTTAGGGTCGTATTCTAGAACTCTACTCAATGTTCAAGTCAGGATTGGAGTATGGTTTAAAGCACTCGAAATCATACTCAAGTCCCTGCACTTTAGGGTCGTATTTCCAGTGCTTGTGTTGCCAGTGCAATCCTGACTTGAGCATTGAATAGAGTTCTAGAATACGACCCTAGGTGTCCTTAAGGGACCATGGACTTTAAGGTCCAATTTTGTTAAGTTTCATCGTAATGTGCCTGTGTCTCCGCAAATAACCAATTACAAGTATTATTTTTGTTCTCCAATTACTAACTAAAGGTATAAGGAAAGGAAAACTACTCAAGTACACACTTAAGTAGTCCCCAACTATCGCAGCAAAGTTTCTGAGGCTTAAATAGTTGCTCGACTTGCTAATACACCTGCGCTTTGAGAGAGTACTAAGCCACTTAGGACGACGAACTCCATATTTAACATTAGCGCCAATACATTCAGAAATTATCTATTTAATATATGCTATGACGGCTGTTTTGACGTTTCATCAAGTTTCGTATTAATTCATGACTACGTTAAAGGAGCTAATTGCTTTACATTGTTGTCAATGGTGACGTGCAGTAAAATTTATGAAACGTATAATTTTACGACACAACTCGGCGTTGTTTTTTAATGTTTTTCGATATTTAAAAAAAAGAAATCTAGTCACTTATAGGATCGCTGTCCAGCTCAAAGCTCAATTTCTACCTCCGGCAAACTCGCGCCAAAGCTCAATGCAAAACAAAGCAGTTTCGAAATGACGATATATTAAGTAAACATTTTTATTTTCGTTTTATTAAAACTAATTAATCAGCTACCCCTTGCAATACCAGTTATAAATCTCATAGCATTATATTTTTTTCGTTAATGAGTTGAGATTTGACTTCATTATTGTAATCTGTCAAAACGGCCATCATAACATGCCAGTACTGTAAAGAAATTATCTGTGGTGTGATTTATTTGTCGTTTTGTTTCGTAATTATATATTTGTGTCGTAAGTGTGAATGTTTTTTAATTAATATGTATTTTTTTGTTATAGTTTTTTTATATAATATCAAGTGACGGGGCGAACAAGCCGTGAGCCTGATGGTAAACTACACGCCTGTCCATACCAGTTGCAGTGCCACTCAGAGCTTAACATCGTAAAGATCTTAGGGGCACTGCCACGGCACCCGCCACCCGTAAATTGACAAGTCATGGGACTTGTGCCTGTAATTTCACCAGCACCCTTAACCCTTCAAAACCGGAACACAGTTTATTACTACTGTAATTTTTTACTTTTTTATGTGTTGTTTATTACGTGTTTTCTTTTTTTCTTGGTAACCTATCACAAATTCGGTTTTTTTCCGAAATAACGTTTGTTGGAATTTTCATTACACCGAAAATTATAAAAATTATAACGAAACCGTTGTTCTTTCAGGGTATGTTGGATGTTTATCGCAAAGATACGATTAGGTTCGGTTAAGTTAGGTTTAAAGAAAAAAACATTTTCCTCTCAAAATTACTTTCGAGGTTATGAAAATTCGAGCAAACGTTGTTTCTGGAAAATGTCATTTCGAACTACTGACAGGTAACCTTTTTTTTTATATGCTGTTATTTGTGGTGTGCAAATAAATGTATTTTCTTTCGTCTTGTTCTTTCTAGAGATAAACTCTTTCTACTGATAAAGTGGTGATAAATATTTTGCTAGACCTTGTTACTGCCGCAAAATACTATTGATAAAGTAAAAGCTTTTTCTGCTATGATCTCTACTATGATTTTATTGTAGCAGTGGAGCTGCTTGTGAAAGAGTTCGTCATATGATCCCATGTATCTGTAATTTCACCAGCACCCTTACCCTTCAAAACCGAAACGCTGTACAGCTCATATTACTGCTTGGCGGCAGAAATATGTAAGGTACTTTCCTGGTCGAACTCTTTAAAAAGGAGCTCTGGGTACTGCTAATAAAATTATATGAATAGTATACTCACACTTTTAATCAAAGAGCTTATAATCAAGTTTATAAGATCTAAGCTAACTTTTACAAAGATATTGGAATTAGCCTTACTAAAATAACTGAATTTTGTACATAGTGTGTAGTATCAATTACAGTCTTGGTTTATTTTTCTTCTTTTTTGTTTACTTATTAATGTTATTATATTAATACACGTATAGTGTTAGGACTGCACACTTCACCTTTCTTCAGTTTTTTTTTGTTTTTCCGTGTTTATTGTGCTTCATATTGTATTTATTTCTTTTTAATGTTCTGATACTCTTAGCTTACACTTTATCGCATACAGTATCCGACTAAATAGTTATCGTCTACATTACGCATAACTATTTTATCGGTACTGAACGTTAAGATAATGAATTTCGAAAATTGGTTTTAGGGTTTTTTATTTATTTTTTTATTAAAAGCTAAGTGCGCTTTTGACTTCCATCTCACCTGATGCAAAGTGACGATGAGGTCGACGATGGAGCATGCACACCTAAATAATGCCTATTCACTCTCGCCCTGAAAAGGTCCAAGTTGTAACGTTCAGGGAACAAGTCTGCAGGCAGGGAATTAGGGTACTGGAAATCAGCGTCTGCATCGCAGTCTTTACTCGGCTGTGACATTAACTGAGTAGATCATCTTACTTATGCGACAACCGTATACAATACATGATTTATTCAAATTGAGTTAACTGTTTAAAATGGGATAATGTTTACTTCGTCGTTTTTTGTAATTTCATTTTTTGTTTTCCTTTTGCTTTGTCTTTTTTTATTTATTTCTGCATGTTTTTGTGTTGTGGCGTTGTAATAAATGAATTATATTCTATTCTAACATATCACTTAGCACGTCAAACTGGCTATCAAGTTACACGGTGGCTGTCGCAATTGTTCAATTTCTGTGTCAGCGAGCTCTTTTGTGATACCCTAAGTAAGTAATAATAATATTTTTCCTCAAACGGTCCTCTCCGACCAACAATTGCGCAATTTGCTTCGTTTCGTTAGTTGGCTGAAAGAAAAACAAAAGCCATCTGGGTACATCATCACAATTGGGAAAACTGTGAGCATTTTCATTTTTTGGCTGCCTCTGTTACGTGACCAAATTGGACAATGGAGACGTAATCCTATCTATCGATTTCATATAAACTACAGGCATAAAGACAGTACTATATTATAGTATAATACTATATTATATA